AAAGAGGCGCTTCCCTCCATCTTCCTCTTCACTGCATTTGAGTAGCTCAGTATAATATCCTCTTTTAGAATGGCACTAACATTAAATTAGCAGCGGGCTTAATTACCACATTTTGGCAGCGCTTTTAAACCCAATCTGTGGTCGATGGAGGAAGATATAGACAAAAGCGGCAGGGAAAAGTGGCTGCAGAGCACAGCATCTACTTTAGGTCTTCTAAAACTGAGAAGTGTTTTTGCCTTCTCTCCCCCTCTTTCGCTTCCTCCCTCTGTCCCTCCCTCCCTCTCGCTCTGTCTGTTGTCTCTCTTCTAGTCTTTTCTCGGTCTCATTGTTGTGACTCACTGTCGGTTCTCGGTCTCATTGTTGTGACTCACTGACTCACTTATTTGCGTTAGCAGCAGTAGACGGACCCATCTTCCATTTTATCACTGATTGCTGTCCTTTCTCTGAACTCTGTTTAGTAACTGTTGTTACTAAACAGAGGGAGAGAAAAAAATAGCTGCAAATGAAGGCTGTTGGAAGGTGCCTCCCTCTAGCTGTGATCAACAGAATCTCTTGTTTGGAGACATTTGTTTGAAGATATTTGTTTTTACTTCACATTCAACCAGACTGTTCCTCCACCTTTTTTTTTTCTTTAACTTATTTAATCTCTCCTCTTTTTGCTCCTGGACTCCCCTCTCTACCTCCCCCTTTCTATTACCCTCACATTTTCAAACTCTTTAAATATTGCATTTTTAAAATTAATTTCATTCCTTTTTAACTGAGAAAAATTGTGGTCATCCCCCGACTGCTCACTTCAACCTTTAATTGCAGACTCCTTACACTTATTATCACTCTATTACTCCCCCGTCCTCTTTTTCTTCTCCCTGTGCTCGACTCCAGGTATCGCTTCCTTCCAGTGCATGGCAGATCAGGTCATGTGGAATCCACGGGGTCCTGACCTGAGTAACTGTACTTCCCCCTGGGTCAACCAGGTGGCCCAAAAGGTGAGACCTAGAGTTGAACCCTTTCCCCGGCCGCAGGTCTGTCCGCTTCCTCTGCCCCACTGCCCTGATCGTTTTCCCGCTCCACCTCCACACACATTACCATTTCTCAAAGGCTGGCCTGATTTAAAAATAAAAAAGTCTAATTTCACTCGGCCCCTCATTACAAAGCATCTGCACTCTTTAATTAATTAACTCTTTTTTTCTGCTGATATACATTAATTACAGCTAGGTTAAATTATTTTTAAGAATGTATGGCACCACAGTTGGCACAGTAGTCTGCCTCTCACTTTTTCCATAATTGTCCCGTAACACGATGTACCATGTATAGCTCAACGTCACGCTGTGAGGATGACAAGAAGGTTGTTTCAATTTTAATTACTTTTATTTATAGATCCTCGTATACACTGCACTCAGCCAGCTCTTAGTTTTTCTGAGATTTTTGCTATGATTTTTATTACAGTAACTGATTTTCTTTAAGTCTCACATTGGAAAATCCATTGTTCTTGTTCTTCCTAGTGTATATATATTGCAAAGAGTTTTCTAATGATGTGTTTTGCAGTGGAATTAATTCTCTATAGAAAGCCTTCACAGTTTTTGTAAAAACAACAACAAAGAAAAGAATCAAACTTCCGATTCATAGACGCCATTTTTTGACATTGATGAAGTAGCATCATCTTTCATGTGGCCCAAATAAAATCACGTCAGCCTCACATGATTTGAATGATAAACGCTAAATATGGGCCGAATACCCTGACACAATAGTGTGCTTTTTTAGGGCAAGGCTGAAAATTTGAAATCTGTCATTTTCTTTTGTGGCCAGCCTTTTTTTGTCTGAAAAGTAGCTTTGCTGCAGTCAGCTTTTGTTTGGAATCTGGCAAGCATTAAAGAACTGCCCAAGTGCCATCATTCCATGCCATATGTGGGCCAAAATAATTTGTCATGTGTCCCACCTAAGGTCTGGATCTGGGCCACAATTATTTTATTATATATTTGGCAACTAATTGAATCTAGCCCACGGCTATAATCTGGTGTGTTTACACTTTCGAAATGTTTATTAACATATGGTGTTCCTTCCAAATAAACAATGTAAAAATAATAATAATAGTAATATCTGAAATTCCATTTTAAATTTTATTTTGAATTATTTTAAAACCAATGTCCATTTAGGCATACGTGGTACAGCTCACCACTGCACCTTATCTGTTTGTCTCATTTTTACAAGCCACACTAATGTGTTTCATTTAGTAAGTATTTAAATTATATAAAACTGAGAAAAATTAGAGGTAAGTGAAGATATTTAAAATGTCAGAAACTACCAAAAATGTGTTATTGTAAAGTTGAAGATGATGTGAAGATGCACTATGAAAACACAAAGACGATAATAGTTTAATAGAAATACTATTCGAATGAGGGTTTGTTAAATGTTAAAGGCCAAATTTAATAAAAAATATACACAAAGAAATATTCAAAATTAAATGTATGTTTCCCAGAACCATATGAAGTCCATTCCCATTAAAATTTAATTTATTATTTTTGTTGCAATCAATAATTGTATGTACAGTACAGTAAATGTGGTTTTCTCTTGTTTGCATGTGCAGATAAAGAGTGGAGAAAATGCTGCCAACATAGCCGGAGAGCTGGTGAACCACACGAGGGGCAGGATCCAGGCTGGCGACGTGAGCTCGTCTGTGAGACTGATTGAACAACTGCTGGACATTCTGGATGCTCAACTTCAAGCCCTGAGGCTGGGCAACAAAGACTTGGCCACACGGAACTACAACAAGGTACAAGACCGTGGCCTGGTGTTAAGACACTCCTAGCTGTTTAATTTAAACATTACGAAAATCCTAAGGTTAATACGAATTTGCTTTTTCAGGTGAACTTTCAAGACCCAGTTATTTTTTTATATAAAGTTTTGTTTACCATCCTTATTCCTGGCTTTCTGTATCTCTCTTTCTCTCTCTCTCTCTCCCTCTTTAGCTCCAGAAGCGAGAGCGTACCTGTCGGGCCTACATTCAGGTACTTTTTCTCTCTTATCTGCCTACTTTACATGCCTGAGGAGCCGCACAGCTCCATAACTTAAAATAACTACAGAGAGATAAATCCATGAGTAGACCGGTCTTGTAGATGAGATTCTTTTGGCTCAGCGCTCTGTATTATGATTTATATTTCCTGTTGAATCATTACGTACAGGGTTTCAGGTTTGGCGTAGCTGCTGGCACACAGTGTATACAGTCTTTAAATGCTGCTGTAGCGCTGTATTTCCCAGAGCAGTGAAAGTTGATTTGTAGTTTTTGGTCTTGCTCGGGGTGTACTCGTCTTGTGGGTACAGCTAATATGGGGAATCAACTATCTGTGCCATGAGCTCAGCACCGTAAAAGAGCCCAAAAGTGCAATATTGCTAAGGCCCTCATTGTGTTGCTCAATAAGATACAATATATATGGATCTGCGAAAATGTAATTTGATGACACTGTAAGATGCAACGGTTTCTGTTACTCCTCCCCATCTGTGCTTTTTGTTTTTTTTTCCTCTTTGGGCTTTTTCAATATTTGTGCAATATCTCTGGTTCGGAGAAAGCCGTAATCTAATATCATGAAAAGGCCTCGTATGTATGCTTCTCTGTAATGATGAAATGCAGTGCTCTGCGGCACAGGGTCTTTTGTGTCTTGACCTGTCTGCAACACACTGTAATGTTACACCACGTCTCTGATCTCCGTTGGATGAAGTAAAAGGCTGTTGTGTAGTATGTAACCCGACCATTATTTTTGTCACCACTGGCAAACTAGCTCGGTATAGCCCCACTGATCAGAGGATAAATACCAAACACTCTCCATCACTGTCTTCTGAGGCAACAGAGATCTGTTGCCTACATTCATTTTGTTAACAGCAACGCTCTTTATTCCATGCAGCAGTCAATCCTTCATTTTGAGAGGCCCAAGCAAGGGAATTACATGATTCATCAAGCAGGCTACAGCAATAAATTGGATAGCTGATACAACCATCAAAATTGTCATTAAATGAATTGTAAGTGTGAAATAGAAAGGTAATATGTCTGTAATAGATCCACAATGGTGAGTTTCTGGCAGATTACATTATAATCCTAGTGACATTCTAGTCCAAGATCCTCAGTTTTAATCCTCAAAAAAATCACAATTTGGAACGTACCATTAATAATTATAATGTAACAGGTCATAAACACGTCGGAAGCCAACTGATAATTACTGATTGATAGCTCATTAATAGCTAATCGCACTTTAAGGGATCCAGCTGCTAGACACTGTGTTAATGAAGTTCAGTGATGATTTGTTACCACAAGTGTGATTCTTACTGCCATTACTTTAATAAATGACACTTCTTCTCTTCATCTTCATTTCAATTCTATGTATTAATTGTCACACAACCAATAAGTTATCACTGGTTCATTATTACTGGTGTTTGTTGTTTGGAAGTAGAAGGGATGGAGCCTGGTGTCAAAATATTATAATGTTGTATATTGTCTAACCTAATACATTATTTACACAAAAAGATGTATAGTATTAACTGACAGGTCTGGACTGCAGGTATATGTAATGAATAAAATGTAAAAATGTAAATTAATTTCTTATAATGCAACTCAAGTTGCCATTGATCATCAGAATTAAAAAAGACTCTTGTCTGACCTAATGAATATTATTAACAGTAGTCAACAGTAGTACCAGTTCAGCTTATTACTTTGTCAGGTTGAACTTCGAAGTTAGTGTCAACGTGACCTGAGTTTCTCCTTCAAGCTGTTCAGCCAGTTCAACTTGAAATATTGTGTCACACACACAGCTGAATATCGGTGTGTTTTCGTTACTTCACTGGAGATTTTGGTGCATTTTGCTGCAATGTTATTAGCGATGGTAACAGGTGTCCCTCCCCTGTGACAGGCGGTGGTGCAGACAGTGGACAACTTGCTGCGCCCTGAGGCTCTGCAGTCATGGCAGGACATGAACAGCACGGAGCAGGCTCACACTGCCACCATGCTCCTGGACGTCCTGGAAAAAGGAGCCTTCCTGCTGGCCAACAACATGTATGGGAATCGCTTCACCGACCGAGCACCGAGCATCGGTGAGCAGACAGTCAGTATGAACAGCGAAAGTTTGGATGAAGCGCAGTGTCTGTGGAATGTTGCCCCTGGCTGTGTTTAAATCTTTAATATGACGAGTGTCATCCTAAAGTTTCCCATTTCCTGTCTCCTCTCTGCCAGATCTGGAGGTGCATGTTTTAAACACAGAGATGGACCTGCAGGACTTGTCCTTTCCACAGAACTACGCTAGTGACAGCTCCATCCAGCTTTCAGCCTCCACCATCAAACAGTACAGTCGCAACGGTCAGCATCCCAGAGCCCCTCCCTGTCCTCCGCTCTTGTGTATCCATTTTATGCATGCTTAAAACAATCTGCATGCAGTTGACTAAGTTACCGGGTCATAATAATAGTCTAATCAGATTAACAAAAGCGCTGAGACAATTTCTTTTCCTGATGGTTTCTTAACAGCAGTCTTAATAGAATAGCTGGGGAGGTGGGTAGATTACAATCGGCCCCAGTCTGACAGAGCAATCTCAGCACTCTCTCCCTTCCCCATTCCATTCCCTCGCTCAATCTCTTCGCCATCTTATCCTTCTCTCTCATCTCTCTCTTGTTTCCAAACCAAACCTCGCTCCCTCGCTCCCTCTCTCACGGCTCTCCCCCTCTCCCTGCTTCGCACTCCCGAGCAGCTCCGCTCTTCTCTCCATTGCCCCAACCCCTACCCTATTCTGTTTTCTGTCTCCGCTCAGCTCTGCAGTGGGAACGAGATTAGAATGATTGAAACAAACGCACATGAAATATTCATATGGAATAATAAGAGATCTGTGAATGCTTGAGGGATGAATGTTCCATTGCCCTCCACATTAAATCTTTCCCTCTTCCACCAGTCAAAATGAAACGGTCCTTACCATCATTCTAACCTTCACTAACTCTCTCTCTCTGTCTCCCTCTTGCTCATCCTGTCACTTCCCTATTCTCTATCTCTGTTGTTCTCACTGCTATTACCATATTATTCCCCCATTTCTGCATTTGGTCCTTTCCTCATCCCTCCCTGCTCCCCCTGTATCTATCTGTCTGTATTTCCTCTTTCATATATCTGCCTTTTTTATGCCTCCTCTCCCCTTTTGTCTTTAATTTGCGACCCCTTCATCTTTTTTCTCCCCTCGTGTGCAGGACAAGTCAAGGTGGTGTTCGTTCTCTACAAAAACTTGGGAGCTTTTCTGTCCACGGAGAACGCCACAGTAAAAATGGAAATGGAGGGGATAAGCCACGATAAGAAGCAACTGGCAGTTAACTCGCACGTAATCGCCGCCTCCATCAACAAGGAGTCTAGCAGAGTGTTTCTGACTGAGCCAGTGGTCTTCACTCTCAAACACCTGCAGGTGACCTCATTTACCCCAGTCATGCCCACTCCACAATGGGCTGCCTTGATTTTAGGTTCAGCTACCCCCTGTTTCAATGTTGAACTCTGAAATAGTATAATACCCTTGTAATTCACAAGTATTTTCTTTAGGAAAAGTTGTTACAAAATTGAGCTTTAAGCACTGTCCGTTTGACAGTACCTGCCATGTCGTTCTGTGCATCAAGTATTTCATTAAAGTTCCTCAAGTTTACCTAATTCTTATAATGGGTGTTCAAACCTTGTCAACATATCTGGTGGTCAAAGACTTAGAAGATTTAACTGTTCTTGTTGATTCTCTTTACATGAAGTTGGACAATTACTACACACCAAACTGTTCTTTCTGGAACTACTCTGAGCGCTCCATGACTGGACAGTGGTCGTCGCAGGGCTGCAGGCTGCTGGACACCAACAGGACACACACCACCTGCTCCTGCAGCCACCTCACTAACTTCGCCGTCCTCATGGCTCACCACGAGCCCGATGTAAGTAAACAAATGTCTGACGGACACACAGCTCAAATGGAAGCCTGGGTAATTTATGCAGGAGTCTAATTCATGTGAATGTTCGCGTCTGGTTGCTCGGAGTCACCCACCCGTACACACATTCACATTAATGTACCTTCTCAAGGCTGACAAGCTCTTTGTTTTGAATTCTCTCTCCTTCTTCTTTCACTCTGACAGGAAGCGAACATGCTTACAAATTCATGTCCTGCTTTTTCTCTCTGACATTCACATGAATTTGAATGTCGTGTATTCCTTCGGAACGTCTTGTCACTTGTCTCTACACTTTAGCTCCTTGCATATATTTACAAATATTAAATAAAGCTATTTTGTCTTCTTCCTCCTTGTCTATTCGTCTTTTATTGTTCCCTTCCCTCTGCTGTTGCCCCGTCTGTCTCTCTGTACTCCTCCCCTGCCTCCCCCTTGCTTCCTAACCTCCCTTTTTTTTAACCCGATTTTTTTTTATCTTCCATTCTTTTAATTCTGCTGTGTTTTTCTCTCTCTCTCAACCATCTCCCACAAACCCAACACTCTGGTTTCTATCCGGACCACAGTACCAGGGGCGGATGCACGAGCTTATCCTGTTTGTGATCACCTGGGTGGGAATTGTCATCTCTCTGGTGTGTCTGGCCATCTGCATCTCAACTTTCTGCTTCCTGCGTGGTCTGCAGACTGACCGCAACACCATCCACAAGAACCTTTGCATCAACCTTTTCATAGCAGAGCTGCTCTTCCTCATAGGAATTGACAAGACGGAATACCACGTGAGTTCATTCCCACATTTCGGTCTGATATCTAGGATATCACGGATATTGGTTTCTTATTCATATATGGGGAGTATTTCTTGGAAAGGAAATGTATAACTCTGTTGTTGTTGTTTTTTTCCTGGCTTGCTGAATAATATCTGTAAAAACACACACTCTTGTTTCTTTTTATGAAACAGAATTACAAGTTCAGATTAATTTTGATGTTTTCTAAATTGAAAATGACACAGGGCACACAGCATAACAGAATGACAACTTTTTTATGGGGAAGGTGTCTGTGAAACTGAAAATGAGGCAGTGCATCAGCGCATTACTCCATAAAAATTTACTGCACTGAGTAATGAATTACCACTGAATAATATGCACGGAGCCAATCACCCGGGGGCAGCTTTTCATTTCTCCTCTGTGAATTTACAAAACTAACACATGATTCTCTACACTGTCTCCTGTTTTCATTTATTTGCCCTAATCTTAACTCTTTCTCCCTCCCCTTTCTTTATCTTCATATTTTCACCCCTTATTTCTCCCCCGGCTGCTGCCCCTCAGATTGCCTGTCCCATCTTTGCTGGCCTTCTGCATTTCTTCTTCTTGGCTGCCTTCTCCTGGATGTGTCTGGAGGGTGTGCAACTATATCTCATGCTGGTGGAGGTCTTTGAGAGCGAATACTCCCGCAAAAAGTACTACTATCTATGCGGCTACTGCTTTCCTGCACTGGTGGTGGGCATCTCAGCGGCCATAGACTACAGGAGCTATGGGACCAAGAAAGCGTACGTGTGAAAACAGGCCTTTTGCACCTGCAGATTGAGGAGTAGGATAAAGCCATTCCCCAGCTGGAAATGTAATATGCAGTTGTGTGTAAACGGCTCTCGCTCCTCCCTGTAGATTGGCTTTACTGAACACACTTAGCCAAATCCTGATGATTAGCCTTCATATGATAATCCGCTGAGACAGGAAAATGTTATGAGCAAGCATGTGTGTACACATGGCGTGTGTGTGTGGATGGGGGGGCATGTGTGTGGGAGGGGGCGTGTTTGTGTCCATGTGTGTCCATGTGTGCTTGTATCAGTGTTTGTTCAGGGCCTGAGCTGCATTTAACACCTTTTTCTGCCTCAGATGCTGGCTGCGAGTGGATAACTACTTTATCTGGAGCTTCATTGGACCTGTGTCGTTCGTTATCATGGTAGCAAGCTATTTTTTTTTTTTACACTTTATTTTAAAAACAACTTTTTTTAAAGTAATAACATTTCTCTCCACGTACCTTCTGTCCTCAGCTCAATCTCATTTTCCTCATAATCACTTTACACAAGATGGTTCGCAACTCTTCAGCCCTCAAACCTGACTCCAGTCGCCTGGATAATATTAAGTGAGTTTAAACTACTACAGTATGTGCTGCTTTGTTTACCAAAAGGTATATGTAGTGTATATTTATTAAAAAAGTATGCTAAATTATGATCTAGATCATTCTTAAGATTATTTGTGAATTCTTCCATCAGGTCCTGGGCTCTGGGGGCCATTGCTCTGCTCTTCCTGTTGGGCCTGACTTGGGCTTTTGGCCTCCTCTTCATCAATGAGAACACAGTGATCATGGCTTACCTCTTCACCACCTTCAACGCATTCCAGGGCATGTTCATCTTCATCTTCCACTGTGCACTGCAGAAAAAGGTAATCTTTCACACATTAAGACACTGAGCCCTTCAGCACATTTATTTTAAAACATTGGGCAGCTTTAGGAGAGTTAGCAAAAGTGGTTTTAGAAATTAAAGCTTAGAAATTAATATTTCCTTCACCATATAAAACTTTGGAATAAAACTGTGTAGAATAGAATCAAGCACTTTGTAATGTCAATCATTTTGAAACTAAGTGAGCAGCTCGACCAAATGTGCCCAAAAATGACAAAAAGCCGGAATAACTCAGAGCTAAAATAACACAGTGCAAAAAAAGTGAGAACATTAATCAACATGATAAATATATTTTTCTTTTTAAAAAATCAAAAAAGTTTTAATAAAATAGTATAAATATGTTTAACTGCTTATTTTTACACATTATATTTATATTTTCTAAAACATTGCTCATCTCACAGACACAAACACAGACCAAACCAGTCCAGTGCCACCTAGACTGTGTGTATATTATAATCTCTCCATTGTTTTTTTTTTCTGTATTTCCCCTACAGGTTCATAAGGAGTACAGTAAGTGTCTGCGTCACTCTTACTGCTGCAGCCGCACCTCCACCACCAGCTCCCACGGTTCACTGAAAAACTCAGGCCTGCGTGCCAACAACCGCTACTACAGTGGCAGCCAAGCTCGCCACACAGCAGCCCACAGACAGGTGCAGACAGGAAGAACCCACTCATGAAATTCTGGCACTCACACACACACATATACACATAAATACTATGCAGACAATTCAGAAATCTCCTAAAGTATATTTTCTGCTAAAGGACAAAAGAAGTTTGAGTATCAAGATATTTATAACTGCTTTCAGGGCTCATGGGGTTTTTTTCTAAGAAAGAATGATTGAAACATGTTTTTGCAACAGATTTTAGTTGACATTTGTGTTGAACAACGTCACCCATTTTATATATCTGTTTCAGGAAAAAAAACTATTCATACAATTGAAGATCATAGCTGGGTCACATCCCATTCTCTTTGAATCACACTTTATAATGTTTCCAGGCAGAGCTGAAAATATTTCAACAATATTCAGCTCAAAATGACTGTGTACTTGTTTGCATAAATGCAGCCTTTAATGCATACTGCATTCTTACTCTTACTTACTATTTACTTACTTTATTACCAAAATGATTGATTTTGTCTGAGAGCCCCATAAATCATATCCACAAACATTGTTATATAGAAAATATTCCAACTATCTAAATATATTAGGAGTATTATCAGGAGTAGTCCTCGCTTGTGTCTAAGCCAGTTTTTGAAGATTTTGCAAAAATGGCTGCATTTGACAGAATTTGATTATAAATGAATATCAGTGGTTCACATACTCTGTGGATTTACTGAGCCACAGTTTAAATGCAGTTTTTATTTTCTCGTGCCAAACAGCTCTGCAAAACATCAGCACTTCTTTGTTTATTTTTGGCAACCAGGCAGTTTTGGTGCATTACATTTCATTATAGGGTCTCAGATGTGCTCATTAGTAATTTCTGTTGAAAACCCAGTGTAATCAGTCACCCCAGTCAACCCTGTTGTGAATTTTTTACTCTTATGGTCCCATGCATACCTGGCAGCTATTAATATAAAACTGAGAGTCTGAAGTCCATGTGCTATATATAGACCCTACGTCAAAAGTACTGTACATGCTGTCATATGTGTACCAGACACACCCTCCCTGGGCAGCATATCATGCTGCAGTTGTATCAGAATAATGTTTTAAATATCTCAAATTATTCCCACCCATGGTTGATAACGTGACACAGCTCTGCACACTCGCGCCCGACTCCTCAATCTCTTCATCTGACATGTTTGCCTATTGTTCTTTGTGGATTAGAGCGAGCCCCACAGTTTTGATTACAGCAGCCCTACTGAGATACAAAGTCTACCCGCTGTGTTTCTATATTTAACTTGGCGTCTGGTTTGCTGCCACTCACTGTGCTCTGTTCCCTCTTCCAGAGTCGGATCCGCAGGATGTGGAACGACACAGTTCGGAAGCAGACAGAATCCTCTTTCATGGCAGGAGACATTAACAGCACCCCGACACTCAACCGTGGTGAGGCGTCCCTTCACTGCTGCACTGCTTCTCACTCATTAAATTATCCACACTTAAAATCACAGAAATGAATGTATTCTCATATTTGGTTGAAAGTAACCTGGTAAAAAAAGACTATTAAAAATGTTCTTTTCAGATTTTTACTAAAATACAAAAAAAATTAAACCTTTATAAGTCAGGAAGAATATAGGGCTAATGTTTAGTTGAAAATATCTGTCCAGAGATAGCTAAGAGTTGGCCAAAACACCAAAAATTGTCCTGGAATTTATGTAACAGGTCTTGAAAAAATTTCACGCCTGTTGTTCATTAAATGTATTCATATAATTAAAAAATATACAAAAAAAAAAAGACATGGACTACATACAAAGGGAAACTATTTGCAGCAGGGTTTAGTGTATAAACAACACACAAACACACACACAGAGTCCTGTATTGTTATTCTGAGTGTTGTGTGTGCAGTCCCAGGATAATCATTTGAGAAGTAAAGAAAAACGTGTGTAAAGTCTCTGATTGTATTAGCCTCAGCCGCTAGTGGTGTCAGCGCCACAGCCGTTAGTGCGACTGAGGCGATCTAGGTTAGCTCAGGTTTCCAGATTCAATAAGGGGGCGGCCTTGATGATGACACAGAGGCAGTAGCTAAATCAGCCGTCGTTCTCTATGCTAATTTCATCCATTTGGTTTTTAATGAACTGATTAGCGTGTGAGCGAACAGGGGGTAATTATTCTAATTGGGGAGACTGACAGGAGCAAAGGGGGGGTGAGGGAGCGGGGTACTAAAACTGAGCTCTAGAGATGGATTATCAGCTGTTGTTTGTGTGCCTTTGTGCTAATGTCTGTGGGGGGCTGCAGGGTAGGGTCAGTTTTTGGAATGGGAGGGGCCACTGTCATATTAGAGAAACAGAGCTCACTCCCTTCATGTTGTTCTGTCAAACACAATTGACTGTGCTGTGACGACTTTATTGTGTGTACCTTGAAGAAAAGTTTGTCACTTGGCTTCCAGATTGAAGGAGGGGGGTGGATAGGGAGGAGGAGAAAAGGAAATGTGAAAGCCACACCACACAGAAGGAAGTGGAGAGGTTGAAGTTTTTTGGGGGATTTTAGACTATAGTATAAAAATAGAAATCTTTGTTCCTCAGTTTACCAGCAGGTGCTGGTTATCAAAGGCATTTATCCATAGATTATAAAGTTTCTCTACAAATAATTGTATTAACAAATTTGAGTCGTGTTTAGCAGCATCATAACTGGACAGTTATGTCCAACTGTTAACTGTTAACTGCTAACTGTTAAAACTTACGTCATGGCGGCGTTTGATGAGCTGCTGGTGTCCAATAAAAAAGGTTAGGATTTGGTTAAACCTCATTTGACTTCAGGTTTAGTGTAGAACATGCAGGTATTTTAGGGGCAGTTGTGCTACCGTGACTTGAAGCGTTTCGCTTCCCCTTCCTGTACTGCAGGGGGTGCTATAAACAAAGTTTAATTGCATTGATTGATGGATTTCAATAAAAAGCAATAAAATTAAAAAACAAAATACAAGTAGATTAAAACACACAATGGTTCACAGTGGCACGGTGTGCAAATAAGTTAGATAACACAAATGGATCATTGTTTGAACATTTTAACAACCATTAAATTATTCACGGCTCAGGAAAATGTGTTTGTCTAAATGTCGTTGTCTAAGTGGGTCTCTTTGTAAAGTTTGGAAAACGCTGCCATGTTCACACACGCTTTTCTCCCTTTCTGTTTGGTCTTAATTCTTTTAATTTCATAAAAGAACTCCCCATGAGATGCAAACAGGCTTCTATAATCCAGACTAATTTGGTTGTTTAAAAAAAAAAAATCTGGCATCAAGAACAGGGAAATGTGGTGAAGTCAAGACACAGCAGAGCAGGCCAAAAAAAACGGGAGAGAAGGGTTTGTGTGGCAGCCAGATAGATGGACAGGGGAAGTGTGAGAGGATGGAGAATGACAAATAGCGGTGCCTGAGTTCATATTTTATTTTTCTAGAATTCCCTGCTCTCTTGCTGTGTGATGAACAGGAGGCGTGAGACCCGATGGTTGCACTTTGCCTTGGACTACCCTCTGTCATGCTGTCCTATTTTTAATTTCATGGCATTTCTATTCGAGTTGCCTCAGGCAGGAGCCATATATGGGCATTATACAACATTCTCAGCGTGCCTTTTCTTTGAATTATATTTGTCTTGTAGTGGCATTCACATTTCACTGCGAAATTAACTGTGTTTCAATGGCTGCACCCCTGGACTACATAATGGCATGCATTACTGTTCTTCCCCATCTGACTGCTCCGTCAGAAGCCAAAGGGAAGAAATGTATGGCAATGCTCCAAGCAGTACCTTTCCCCTGCAATTGTATTTTTACCCAAAGGTTACAATCATCAAACATAAACATTGAGAGAACCAGTGTAAAATGCATTATTCCATAAAGGATTGGCATAACAAAAACAACCCCATCTGAATAAACGGTAAATATTTCTGTGATTCTGGATGTTATTATGCAGTCTGGAAAAATGAACTTTCAGAACATTTCACTCGTTGTGAGTGTTGTCTGTTCCTGCCAGCTTCATTTAAAGACATGATTATAATGTTGTCTTGCAGCGACCATGGGAAACCACCTTCTGACAAACCCAGTATTGCAGACTCGCAGTGGCACCTCTCCCTACAACACTCTTCTGGCTGAGAGCTTCACCCCTCCGTCACCTGGTGTCTTCAACTCCACAGGTTAGCTTCCTGAAAGCACGCAGAACTCTGTTGGTGCAGCTTTGTAGATACAGTACGGTACACTGTTGGGTGAAGCAAATGTCTTGTTATAATTACACATTAACATCATGATAGTTGCTTTAACAATAATTATCGACACATTGGAACTGCGATTAGAATGTTAGCAAATGAGCAAGTACCACCTTGTGTTGTACTTCAGTTACCTCAAAATCAATCTTGGACATGTAAAAATATGAATGAGAGTTTTTTTTTACTTTGACCCACAGATTTATGACTGATAGGCAGTAATTTAAGGCCTTACTTGGTCCGTTTATCGCATGTATACAAAGGAGGAATTTTAGGGAATTAAATTTTCTTCTTTGTAATGTCCTCAGCAATGAAAACTGCTACCAACTCCACACCCTTGCTGGTCCAAGTGTTTGTCCCTGAAGCCGTAAACACACGTACTTCGCTCCTGCTACTGAGCCTAGTTCTCAGTATTAGTTTTTGTAGTGCAGACAAAATTTTCACACCCTTCTCTATCATGGAACTACACAAATATGCATTGTTCAGAAACAAACCATCCTTGGTAATCAGTTCAATAAATGTTCCGATCCACCCTTGAACATCTGTGGAACAAAATAGGGTTTCTGGTACTGATTGGAAAGTCACACTCAGTGGTTTGTACAAGGATGTTTGTTTGTGGAAGAAGACGGAAACACAGAGAGCAAGGAGACACAGAGAGAGAGAGTGTGTGTGTGTGTGTGTGTGTGTGTGTGTGTGTGTGTGTGTGTGTGTGTGTGTTGGTGTTGTTATTTCAAACTGAGTAGTTGTCAGATGGATTCTCGTATCGGTGCCAGACCCTGCCTATAGTCTAACCAGCCATCTGGTAAGATCTTGAATCATCATTAGAACAACCACACAATGATTAGAAGTTTAGATGCAGTTGTGTTTGCCAGAAATTTCCAAGATAGTTTTCATGTTCTTGGACAGAAAAATGTAATCAGCTAAAATCACAACAGCCGCTGAAGGGGATCAGGCGGCACCGCAGTCAGGGAGCCTCCATCTGGACGTAGGTCAGTCAGCCTCGAGTTTCCACCATCTTTGCGAATGCTTTTATCGCAGAGCGGTCTTTTTTAAACCGGGTCCTTTATCGCATTGCTGCAATCCCATCGCGCTCCCGCCGTAATTGCTGCATTAGACAGGTTTTGGTAATTGCTCGGCGACAGTAGCCTCGTTCAGAAAGGAGCCACGCTCGTTTTGCGTGGGACAACTCTGTGCAAGCAGTGGAGGTTTCAGGCACGGTGTCTGAGGGCTGGAATTTAAGGCAGTGTTTCTGTTGAATATTTTAAATCCTCTCTGCACAATGCATCAAGCCTGATGGCCACAGGCCTGGCAGCGGAGACATTTTTAGAAGAGAGTGGGAGAGGAAGTAGAGAGAGCACTTCATTAGAATGTCTAATTACCCACAGCACCAATGAATATGAGGGCTGATTAAAGTCACACTACACACAAATTAAAATTCTGAACATGCCTCTTACTGCTGGCTACACTGTGGCTGTTGGCTGTGTGTAATTGAGTTGAGATGTGTAAAAAATAACCAATGACAAATGTTTGCATACAAGTATCACTTAGCAGCAGCAAATGGAAATATTCTGTCTTTGAAGCTTTTATTGACAGACAGATACAGGTGAGGGACACCTAAAGGACAGTTATCATGATAAGGTTAGGGCCACGACAGGGCTGGAGTTGACTGATCTCCACTATCTGTTGGTCTAATTGGCTTTTTTCTTTGACCTGCATTAAATAACAACGAGTATCTTAAATGTCTGTGGACAGTGCTGCAAGAAAAATGATGAAAGAATACCTCAGAGAAATATTAATTTTTGTTTGTAAATTGTGAGAACATTATAGAGGAATAGAGTAAGTCAGGTTCATGTTTGCCGCGACTCATTTTGCCTTCACGTCAGCATCAATTTTCTTTGTTGATAGAAACATATAATTTAGGGTGGTTAATTAACTATGATGGAGCTTAAAGAGCATGAAACCAAGGCCAGTGGACTGCAGTATATAATAGTAATAGTGCACAATAAATCTTTTGGCCCACAGCTTTCTGTGAGCCATGAATTTTGCAGTGATGCATCACATTATTGTTGCATTCTTGAAGAAAACTTTCTCAT